AAGCGGAATGGTTGGTGCTACTGCACATCAGCAACGACATTATAGATGCAGCCATATCAGACAGGGCCCCGATTAATATCAAAACAGACTTCCTAGTTGCAAAAATTCAGAAATATTCCAACGCTATAAGCTAGAAATCTTTACTTAGCAAAGGGTTCAGAAAGAGCCAGATACAGTTCAATGCCGGCTACTACAGCACCTATTAACTACTTCTGTGGACCGCTGCAGAGAGTGGAGAACGAGACTCAAGTTTCCTTTTGAATCGTTTAGGCGATAACAACCACCGTCTCAGCGTTGCATCGATGTTTAGCCAGATCAGATGGGAAGGTTCACCAAGGTGGGGTCACCCAGATAGCCACCCGAAGGTCATCTAAGGCACCGTGGTGGGTATACGTTTTAAAGCACAAGACCGTGCTCCATGGATCAGTTTATTTTCTATCCGCGCGAAGGTGGTGTACTGGCAGCACACACACTCACATCTCACACGCATTGTCACGGATCGACATCCACCTCAGTTAGCCAGGTCTTCCGTACCAGACTGGGAGGATAAATGGGCCGACTTGTACATCAGCTAGCCACCGCAAATCATTCCATAGGCCACATACGCATTCAATACGCCATTCTTGAATGGAAGTCGGACGGGTGGGCACATCCCTGGTATTGACGCCCCAGGAAATCCAGGGTATGCTACCTTTCTTTTTCCATTCAGGTCCACGGTGCTTCCCTCAGCTCTCGCAGGGACCAATATAAAATCACGCTGTCCCAGAGGTACAAAACGGATTTAAAAGTACGTGTATATGCTGTACAGTAACTCAAGACACACTCAAACGCCTCTAAACACTCATTGCATATATTTACAAAAAAAGTAGTTCGGGTGAGGCAGGCGGGGGTGAGTAACCTTGCGTTAGGGTGTTACTGTATCATACGTTCATGCAGCTTTGAAATCAGATTTGTTTCAGAGGGGGAGCGATCACACATGCGCTCAGGGTGAGAGGTCACCCTAATGGATGGTATGCAAGCTGGGCGTCGGGGGGACAGTAGAAGGTATTACATCGCTCTTAGAACCTTACCTATACCTTCATCACAAACCACATCGTGATTCCCGTTAATATTTTCATACTATTCAACACAAACTGTATGTAAACAAGTCACTACCCTGAATGGAATCGCTAGCACCAAATTACTTGTGATCGTATTATAGTATGCCGTTTATTCGAACCGTGTTACCGCCCATACATGACGTACTAGTCTCACCTCCTGCTGACTATGTACATATATAACCGATACCGATAACCGGTATCGATTCACAATTGAAATTCTCCGAGACTTGCAAGCTCGAACAATCATCACGTATCCACATCCACCTTTACCACATTGAGGTGCTCCGTACATTCCGCGCGTTTGATTTTCCATGTCAACAATTGAAATTACAGTAAACTTTCAAAGGAAAATGTTTTCGAGGATGTACTTCAGTAAAAGAACACTCTTTCTCAATAAATTGTGTAACATGGTTTTCAAATATATAATGAATGAGAAACATCTCTTTGAAAAGTATATGGGAATAATAAAGGGAGCAATTTGGAAAAACTGTCGGGTTGGATAGCATGAATGGGATTCCGCTTCTTTTCAAAGCTGGTTCTTTTACACATCATATTCCCCTTTGAAACTACCTTTGATTTAAACCACCAATTCCATCATCGTATTGAGCCACTCAAATTACCAATCGGCCGACCTACTTGGGAGAAGAGAGTTCCCAGGGTAAGAGCCGCAGCTTTCAGATGCTCCCACCTCAGCTAGACCACAGCATTTCGAGAAGGGACCCCTTCCACACAAACTGGGGTTAGGTATCTCTGCATCAAAGGCCTAGGCCTAACCTAAGACTCCTAAAAAGTAGGGAACATAGAGGTTGGACGAGATTGCGATGACGGAAATGACATGAAAGGGGTATTCGGACGAGATCTCAGTTGTTGCAATTGCGCAAAGAGCCGACTACCTCAAGCAAAAACTGCCCAGAATTGCCCGCTGTCGCTATGGGTCATGAGAACTTGTCCGAACTTCCTACATGGATTCTCTTGCGAATGGTGCAGTCCCGGTGAAACTCGTCCGAGGATACGCCGGGACAATCCTTGAGCTATTATAATGTTCTATCTATTGTCCTACCTGACAGCGCCAAATATGGTATACAAAGGGGCTACAAATTTATGTTGGGGGGATAACTCATAAACCATTTTTATCGTGAACTGTGCCTTTAGCGAGTTGATCCCCAACAGGATGGCGAACGTCCGTTGCGCGTGTCCGTCGAAAGTAGGTCACCCCGCCCACTTCGCGCGCGGNTCGGGAAGACATTACAGTAAAACCAAGTGTGAGTGGAGCGAACGATTTGCATTTGTCTATGTTATCTTCTCTTTGGCTGACTACCGTGGAGAAAGCGCAAATCGTACGCCCCGCTTACAGCTACGACGTCTGTCAAGTATCGCGGGCTGACCCGCCGCATGCGACGGCTGCGGCGTGACCTAGTTTCGAAGGACACGCGCAACGAAGCGCACTCCCAACAGGATAGCGGTGTAGCGACTGACGGCTGACAGATTTAGCTAGAAAGTTAGTGGCTGGACCACATATATTTTATTGTCTGCGGTGTTTATACAAGTCAAAACATTCACAAAGTACAAAAAAGTAATTCTAGACATTCTGAACAACACATTACCTGCTCATAGTAGTCCTCTGATGGTATTCCAGGTTTACCATCTGTGGAGAAGTCCACGTCTGGGAGAGATTCTTCACCATCCTTGAATTCGATGCCAAAGTCCCCATCTTCGGGTGTCAGCTTAGAATTCTTCTCCTTTGCTAAAAGCAAAAATATTATGTAATGGTCCAAATAAAAGGCGTTTTGATCAGATTCCGGTCAATTGTTGAACTCATCCCCTTTTCATCATCTCTGGGGTGCAGAAGAGTTCTCGAAGGAATGGCGACAGGTAGGACAACCCTGATCTTCCCCTGAACATCAATTCCACGCTGTCCATGTCCTTAACAAAAGTCGCTAGTTCAGTAATTCATTGCACTATTTCATGTGTCGTTGGATTCGGTGTGGTTCTTTCCGATTGTGCCCCTCTCCGTTCTTCTCTGGGTCTCTTTGTGATGATTTTCCCGAACCTTGAGTTTCATAACGTTTCTTATCAAAATTCCTCTAACCTTCTTGGTATCTATCCAAATCAACCCAACCGCTACTCTTGTGCCTTGCACTGTTCGAGGACCTCGTTTCCGACCTTATGCAGTCACGCCCGACCGTAAGACTATTTACGACTTTTCATTTTAGCACATTGGAGCTGCTATAAGTGAGTTCTACCCACCAGCATTCCAACCAACAATTAGTGGGATTGATTGTTATCACTCTCTTTTTCAGACTAGTAAACAGGTATCCAACTGTTGGGGGAAAGGCGCTTGCAAATGAGAAACCTATTCAATGGCGGTTTGGAAAAGAAAGTTTTGAGATTCTCAATATTAACGTGTAAGATGTTTTAATCCATCTTCTTATCAACTGCTTTGCAAGTCCGACTTAATGGGTAAACCTCCGCGAATCGCCCCATTCTTATATTCCTCATGAAACGGTAAAATTTCCCAACCCTACCTAGCGATTGCCACACCGCCGGGTAGGGTTGGGAATGAGAGACTTAGCACGATCACGACCTATATTGAACCATAGGAGGGTGTCGTTAGGGTTGATGACAAGGAGTCTACTTGAAACAACACAAAAAGAATCAAGGATAGATTCTCTGGGCATTGATCAATCCTATCTGAGGGTTGCACCCCGCACTCGACTTCCATTCAGAATAGTAGTAGCATATTGAATGAGTATGCGGCCTATACAATGGCTTGCAGGGAAAGCCGTTGTACAAGTTAGTGATTTTATCCTCCCAGACGACAATTAAACGATCTCTGTGGCATGAAAGGCTCGGTTAGCCTTTGCGCATCGATCCGGGTTTTGAACCCATGACCATCCCTGCGGGGTAGTGCGCCAGTAGCCACTACACTACCTCCGCAAGCTGTTTGGGGGCTGTATCGCGGAATGGATCTGAACATCTTACACCTCAATATTGAAAATCTCAAAACTTTCTATTCCAGACCGCTATTAAATAGTTTTCTCAACAGCAGGCGCCCTTCCTTCAACATTTGAATAACCTGCTTACTATTCTGAAAAAACAGTAGTAAAAAATCAATCTCACTGATTCTTGGATAAGATGCTGGTAGGTAGGAATCACCCAAAGGCACGGTTCACGATGATTTTGGATATTCCAGATTATGACGAAAAATGGAAGATAAGGTGGGGCATAGTGCAATGGAGGCGAAGAAACTGCGTGAATCGGTATTTCCAAAGTGATGAATGGCGTCAAAAACATCATTAAAAAGGGGGCTGGACGAGAAGAAGACCAGAAAAAGAACAACGGATGTTTGGACAAGCTTTACAATGTCTGCCGTTGCGTACGTGACGGTCCTGCTGCGAACCGCTGAATACAATAAGCAAAAACGTTCTCTGGAGTTCATTCACTCATGAGCGTAATTTTAAAAAAATACTACTGGCAGCAAAAATAGCCAACCTTTTTTAGCCTCTTGGGGTAGCAAATCAAATAAATGATCGCAGCAGGAAAAGGAATAACAGAGAATAAAAGAGTAGGAGAAAACTGGCTTCGTTCGGCGATCAGCTGGTTGTGTGTGTGGGTCCTAGAGCGAATATTGCCTCGACACTCGTCTGACGTGAATCGGTCGGGAGGCGGGTCATGCGGGCGATCCGGTAACGGGGCTCCCACTATGCCCTAACTGTTGAGTTTTTGAACCCAACAGCCCGTCTTGTTACCCTCAAAGGCCCCTAATTATTTCTAGAGAGAGGACACGGAGATCTGCAATTGAAAAGAATTAATACTTACCTAAGGCCAAAGAAGTCTCGCGGCCTGGAAATTTTCGAAAATTTTACCGTTTCATGAGGTACACAAAAGGAAAGTGCTCTTTTCATTGTAGTTTTCTCCTTAGGACAGAGCAACAAAAGAAGTTGATGAATTTTTATCCGGAACATTTTATACCGAATGGGTTCGAAACCGCTCCTCATCAGGTTCATCATTTGTTGCAGCCTTCCCACTTTCGATTGGTAGTATACTTAGTACTTGGATACTTGGTAATATACTCATTACGTCAGGGAAGTAATAGCAAATGATCGAGATATCATCGAGAAACTTCCCACAGGGCGTCTGAGACCGCTAATTATCAGGTTTTTAAGGGAAAGTTTACAGGCGGAGGACCTCTGACCACGGTAGTATTTCTATTTTTAGCTTCATGGTTGTCATTCTTTAGCACAGAGCGATCATCGCAAAAATTTGAGTGTTAGGATTTCCGAAACAACTGGATGACTTCTATTACTTGTATGCACATATAAGTAAATGAGGTCAATTCGAGGAGGACCAAATCTGACCGCCTTTGACTGCTGGGTAGAATTTATAAATTTAAAGACACGGTTCACGACAAAAATGGTTTCTGAGTTGTCCCCTAAGGAATACCCAATGGCCCCCAAGGGTAACAGGAAGGACGCTGCCGAGTCCCAAATATCAACAGCTA